TCAGTATCTACAATAGAATAATAAAAATTAAAATTATAAATCCATAGAAAATAATTATGATGAATTAGATTAAAAAATATTATTTATGAAAATTTGTTTCAGAAGTTATATATATATAAAAAAAAAAACCTGGTAATGATTGGCAAAACGAAGCAGACGATCCTGTGTATTGAATTCTTATACTCTTATTATGCTTAAAGATTCACAATGGCATTGGAAATCCCTTATTTACCTTTTATATATTGACTTGATAATGATTAAATTAAACTTTTTAATAATATACTATATTTGGTTATTTTATCTTCAATATTATTAATCTTGTATATAAGACAAAATTATTATTATTCCTATTACATCTTAATCATCTTCCTGTAAAGCAAAGATTTCACATGCACTTTTGTAATAATGTTAATTCAATTAGGATAGGATCAATACATTGACTCAAATTTGATAATTTTGTTAACAAACAGAAAGATACATACATTTATCAATTAAATTATAATTAATTGTGAATTAATAATAATTTAATTGATACATACATTTATCAATTAAATTATAATTAATTGTGAATTAATAATTAGTGAATTGATACATACATTTATCAATTAAATTATAATTAATTGTGAATTAATAATTAGTGTCAAAGTATCTTATTAAGTTACATTAAATTTTTAATTACTAAATATATTATGCCTATAATTTAAAGTAAATAAAATACGATAAAGTTTAAATTTTTAAAATACAAGTTACTAACAAAGAAATTTGTTCTTGGAAGAACTACAGGAAGTTCAGTTTAAAAGCTTCAGTTTAACAAATTAATCATTTCTGATATAAAATTAATTCTAGTATCAATTAATTTCTATAGAGATTTATCTAAATCTTTATTTTTTATTTTGAGAATTAATACAGTGTTTAATTTACTGATGATTATACTTGTTGTTAGATTTTTTTTATTTACAAGAGAATACAATATTTATGTTAATATTTTATTTACTTACAAAAACAATTTATAAAATTAATTAATGGTGATGTTTTTTAGTAGGATAATTCAATTAAAAATTTGTTTTTTACTAATGAATAAGTAAATTTAATAGTTGCATTGTAAATGATAATTAATTAAAGAATTTTATTAAGCATCATTAAATTCAATATATGTCATTTGTAATTTTCAATTACATCAGAGTAATCTTTATACATTGATTATAAAATGTACTAAAATTAAATAATGTGAGGAAAATAGTGATTAAAAAAATTCAATGGAAGAAAAGTACTGATTAAAAAACTCTATTGATTTTCTTTTTTTAATTTATAGAATTATTACTTTCAATTTATTTGAGTCATGTATTTTATATAAATAATAGAAATATGGTCTGAGACTTTATATGTATTTAATGGTAGAATATAATCTTATTAATATTAAATAGAAATGTATGAAATTGAAGCAACATATTTAAAAAGAAATCATTGATATTTTTAAGTAACATGATAATTAAGAGTAAAATATCTTATTAAATTGCATTAAGTTTATAATAATTTAATTAAGTTAAACAATAGCTTAATTATTAAAATATGATAAATTAAAAATTATTTTTAAATCTAAATTATTAAGGAAGAAAGTGTTGAATATTGAAAATTAGCCCGAAGGCTTTGGTTTAACNTGTTATTAATGTATACTGTAAATTTTTTAAAAAGTACTTAAGTGAATTTGTTTATAAGTAAATCTTAAGAATATTTTACTACTTCTTCAAATGTACAAAATAAAATATGTATAAGTTTAAGAAATTTTTTTAAAACAAATTTAAGTAATCGTTTGCTTATTCTTACTTATTATAGTATTCTTCTCTTATTTTATTTGAAATAAAATTTAAATTGATACAGTAGATTCCACTAGCCCACCAGTGGCCAAATGGTCTTTGTACCCTGAACACTGGGAGTTCGGTCGTGGGTTTGCACCTCGCTTGGACGGGCTGGCCACATGGAGTTTTCCAGGTTTTCTGCACATCTGTAATGCCTAAATAGTGGCCAGTTCCTCTTAAAAATACCTGCCAGAAGGCATCCCCTAGGCAGATCGCCCAAGTGTTGCATTGTCATAACTTAACAAACAACAACAACAACAGATTCCACTTATTGTAATCATGATAATGTTATCAGTTGGTTAATATTATCAAAATTAGCATGTCTCAATAGATACAAACTTTCCTTATTGTAATCATAATTTGGTTATTGTTATCATTATCTTTGGTGAGTATACCTTTTTAAGTTCTCTTTTCATTCTATTATTTTTAATATGTAGCTGATAACAAGCAACTGTATCAGCTATTGTTAACAGTTTCAATCAGTCTTTTAAATCCTAAATGTTAATTGTTTTAGTTATTAATTTCTTGCAATTACTGGCATTACCTATCCATTGTTAAACTTGGTAGCAGAGAAACAATACTGGATGAATTATACACTAATTAATGATCAATAAATTTTCAGTTTATACAATTTTTATTTTAATGTGTCCTTTTAATTATTTTTAATGTGTTCTCAATGAAACAATTTCCTTTTATTGTATTCTTATTTACTTACTTTGTTTAATGTTGTTATTTGATTATATCATCATCAAGTTAGATGAGTCGCAAAGTGATTACACTAAGAGGAATATACTGTTAATACAGGTATACCTCGACTTACGTCGTTTCGAGTTACGTCGTTCCCGATTATACGTCGTTTGTCAAAAAAGTACATGGAAAAATAAAAGCCAAGTTTAAGTCATTTTATTCGACTTTACGTCTGTCCGCCACAAATATTGAAGTCGTAATATCACTAGAAAAGCGTTTAAAGCACATAAAATCATATTAAAATATATACATTTACAAGTATGTACTGTATTTACAGTACATGCATTCGTAAATTTAGATTACTTTTTTCTGTACTATATTAAAAANATAATCTTCATGGTAGATTTATGAAATACTGAAGGATGTATAAATAGCAAACTTTCATTAATACATTAATGTCTGTACAAACGTTAATCAATTAAGGATAGCTAATTTAACACCTTTAATATATTAAGTTATACGTGCTAAAAATTCAAATAATTTAATTTTATTATATATGTTATGAAATTAAAGATACATAGATTTAAATTTTGTAAATGCTAAAGGAAGATGGAATTGTAATTTAATTTTTAAATGTGTAGTAAGATATTTTTTTAAAATAAATTATATATTCAGTTTATTTCAAAAATATTTTTGAATTGTCATTTTAAAAAATTTAAAATATATTATGTCAATTAAACTAATAAGCAACTTTCTTTACGTTAAAAAAAAATGAAGACTATCAATTAAAAACAGATTTCTTCCTTTAATTCTTCAACAGAGAAAAATCTTATTAAATATTGGAAACATTGTTTATTACTTGATACTGCTTAACACTTAAAACATGTCCTTTTTAATAGATCATTTTGCTGCCAGATAGTTTTATCTGTAGATTTTTAAAATTTTTTTAAAATTCATAAAATTAACAAGTTACAAGTTATTAAATTTATTAAGAGATGGCGCATAACGCCTCTCTCTAGTATCAAATTGTTTGGTAATTTATTAATATTATAGCCGTTATATAGCTTGATAGCATACAGCAGTAGTTGGCTTTAGTAATGTAATGTATCAGAGTTTTAGTAGAGTTGTTAGTTATAGCTTTTTCAAAAATTCTAACACTTGTCAGTTTCTTTAACAATGTTTTGTATGAGATTTTGATATTGTAAATTAATCTCAAAATAAAAAGTTAGCTATACTATTTTTTGTTTTTAATAAATGGTGTTTTTACAATTTATGAAAAATATTAAAAGAAAACTCCTATTGTTTACTAGTCTTTATTTTTACATTTTGAATTCAGTTTTTTTAATATTTGTTTCAACAATTTAATTAAATTATACTTTTTAGAAATGCCAGGCATTGTTGCTCTTAGGAAACGTGCCATGAAAGATCTGCCATTAGTGGGAGCTAAAATTGTTGGCTGTACACATATCAATGCTCAAACTGCAGTAAGTTATTATATATCATTTAATGGAACACTTACATAGGTATACCTGTATTAACAAATTTTTTTATAAGCTTTATCAAATATTTATTTAAACTTCAAAAAAAAAAATGCTTAAAATATGAATATATAAACATAAAATTAATAAGTTATTAAATTTATTGCCATTGCTAATTAAAAAATAAAATTGTTTATTTATGAAGTTATATAAGTTTACTTTAATTACCTATGGTTATTTATATTGACCATATTAGAAAAAAAATGTTTTATAGGCAAACTATTTATATATTTTGAAAAAATCCATGAAACATTGCTAAAGCAGTAACTTATAGAAAGACTCATTCATGATAAATTTAGAAATAACTTAATTTTTTTTTTATCTAATGGAAAATTTTTGATTTAATGTTCCATTTTAACAACAAATTGTTTTGTTTTCATTTAAGTATGTGAATACCCAGAAAACCTCATTATAAAAAAAAAGCAAAAATGTGTGCTTTTTGTTTAAGAACATTATAGCACCAAAAATAAAAATAGAACTTAATGACCTGTATTTTTCTTCTTAAAATCTGGTTTTAAATTTAATGCATTTTGTGTTTATCAGTAGCGGTTTCTGTTGTTTTTTTTTTCATCGAATTTTGAGTTTTAATTAACTTTTAAATGTTATTGAGTATGTTGTTCAGCTTTAAAATTGAAAATTATTTTAATTTGTTTCTGTTCTGATGCTATATAAATATTAAAATAAAATTTGTTTTAATTGAATAAATGATTTTATTTTAGATATTTTTTTTTATAAATTTGTTGATAATAAAACAGAAATTATATTTGATTATAAATAAATAAATTGTTTATAATCCAATAACTACAAATGGAGAATTAAAAAACAAATTCTAAACTTTTTATTGCCAAATATATCAGTAACTAATTAATATATAGCCTGTAAGTATTTATATATAAATTATGTTTTTATTATATATTAGCTTCATATACGGACACAAGTTCTGATGATGAGGGTGGATCTCCGAGAGATAAAGTACAGAAAAATTCCAAAGGTTTTGATGATTTTTGTATTAAAAACATAAATCAAGCTGCATTTGGTAGAAGGGAAATAGAAATAGCAGAACAAGGTAAATAAACATGTTATATAACTTATTAATTATTCAGTGTTTAATTCAAAATTAATCAGTTTTAAAATTTAAAAGTCATATTCTAATTATAAATTATGTTATTTATACAGTATTCATTTTAAATGATAATAAAAAGTTGTTCTATTAATAATTAATAAAATAGTTATGAAGAATGAAAAAGTCTTTTATGTTACTTAGGAAAAAATTAAATAATAATAAAATATTAAAAGCTGAAATCATAAAAAAAAATTCAAATGAACTAGTCACTGTAGTTACATAACCGAATTAATGAATACACCTTTAACAGTGAAGTTTAAAGAAATGCCTGAAGATAGCCCATTAACCAGGTCAAAAACATTACTTTTCCTTAAATTTCATCCACTGTTATAAGTACATTGATTAATTCATCAAAAATAAAATTGTTTTAAACAGAAGATTTTTAAAAAATTGTTTAAAATCAGTGTGATAAAACAATAATAATTGTAGTTGCATGTAAAACATATTTAGAACATTTAACATGTAATTCAAAAGAAAATTTATTAAAAATTTACATTGTTCTTTAGTTAAGATTAGTTTATTTACATAATCTTCATGGTAGATTTATGAAATACTGAAGGATGTATAAATAGCAAACTTTCATTAATACATTAATGTCTGTACAAACGTTAATCAATTAAGGATAGCTAATTTAACACCTTTAATATATTAAGTTATACGTGCTAAAGATTCAAATAATTTAATTTTATTATATATGTTATGAAATTAAAGATACATAGATTTAAATTTTGTAAATGCTAAAGGAAGATGGAATTGTAATTTAATTTTTAAATGTGTAGTAAGATATTTTTTTAAAATAAATTATATATTCAGTTTATTTCAAAAATATTTTTGAATTGTCATTTTAAAAAATTTAAAATATATTATGTCAATTAAACTAATAAGCAACTTTCTTTACGTTAAAAAAAAAATGAAGACTATCAATTAAAAACAGATTTCTTCCTTTAATTCTTCAACAGAGAAAAATCTTATTAAATATTGGAAACATTGTTTATTACTTGATACTGCTTAACACTTAAAACATGTCCTTTTTAATAGATCATTTTGCTGCCAGATAGTTTTATCTGTAGATTTTTAAAATTTTTTTAAAATTCATAAAATTAACAAGTTACAAGTTATTAAATTTATTAAGAGATGGCGCATAACGCCTCTCTCTAGTATCAAATTGTTTGGTAATTTATTAATATTATAGCCGTTATATAGCTTGATAGCATACAGCAGTAGTTGGCTTTAGTAATGTAATGTATCAGAGTTTTAGTAGAGTTGTTAGTTATAGCTTTTTCAAAAATTCTAACACTTGTCAGTTTCTTTAACAATGTTTTGTATGAGATTTTGATATTGTAAATTAATCTCAAAATAAAAAGTTAGCTATACTATTTTTTGTTTTTAATAAATGGTGTTTTTACAATTTATGAAAAATATTAAAAGAAAACTCCTATTGTTTACTAGTCTTTATTTTTACATTTTGAATTCAGTTTTTTTAATATTTGTTTCAACAATTTAATTAAATTATACTTTTTAGAAATGCCAGGCATTGTTGCTCTTAGGAAACGTGCCATGAAAGATCTGCCATTAGTGGGAGCTAAAATTGTTGGCTGTACACATATCAATGCTCAAACTGCAGTAAGTTATTATATATCATTTAATGGAACACTTACATTAAAAGCTTTTTATTTTTAAGTGTATGACATTGATAAATAATTAATTTATATAATTTTGTGTTTTAATTAATATAAATCTCAGAACTTGTAGACTAATATTTTTTATAGTGTAAAAGAAGACTGAGTGTATAATAATTCTTAGATATTTGATGTGAATTTGCTTACTAAATCTGATGTAAGATAAAATTTATTTCAATTTTATTAAGACAGAAATATCTGTCATAAAATTCATATAATTTACACTAATTTTTTTAAGGACTTCATAAAAATATCTTTTATCATCAGCAATTTATTTGTAATGTAAAACAGAAGGTTAAAATGCCCTAACGGTTAAATTATTATTTAGTTTAAAAACTTGGTTAAAACTAAGATAAATATTTTTTAAAATGGTATTATTGTGTAATCGGAATATATCCTATTCCACTTGTACCAGTGCTTAGTGCTATGACAGATCAAGGACAAGGATTAGCTACAGGAAAATTGTTTTGTTCATGAGCTATTTGTATTTGAGATTTTCCTGACTATGTAATATGTTTAGTACGTATAAAAGCTTCATATAATATTGTGTGTGCTGTTGAGAAGTCCTAATGTTTCTAAACTTTAGTGTACATGTATGTGGCATGACACCCATACAAGAAAGGACTGTAGGCATGATAAATATCTGATCCTTTCTTCATGGGTTCTTTATTTCATGGCAAGTTCTAAATATTTACTATTTTATATGCTGTTGTTTGGTATAGGTATGTCTATAATGTACAGGTATTCTTCGTATAACATGGTAGTTATGTTCCGAAAAAGTGCCATGTTATGCAAATCTGTTCTATACAAAACAAAGGACTAATGAAAAATATGGGGTTACATTCCAGAAGTTAACAAAAACATACTATTCTTTTTTGTTGCTAAGAGAAATATGTTTATTAAAGCAATCAATAATTTATTTTCAATCAATAATTAATTAACAGTCACAAATAAAAGTACTGTATGACACATTAATATTAATTTTACTTAAACCAGGGCATTTTCTTTTCACAAAGTATCATCATCTCAGCTTTTTTATTGATCTTGATCAGAAGTATAAGTAACATTTTTGTATTTTTTATTTTTATCATAAAAAATTTTTTATGGATGACAAAATAAAAATGTCGTTAATTAAAAATTGTTCTAGTGCATTGCATTTGTTCAGTTGAGGACTGAGTAACTTTTTTCCAGAATTTGTGTTTGAATACCAAATTGCTTGAGTATCAAGATACCACTGTGTTTCATTCATCATTTTTACAAATGAAGTAATCATAATACCTATGGTTAAAAAAAAGTTTAATAACACTTACCTAAAAATGTTTATTTAAAGTTTACTAGATACAAAGAATAATCTATAAAAAGAAAACACAGTGATAATCTTAAAGGCTAAAGTCTGAAAGTAAAAACAATGATCCATGGTTGATAGGAAAGTTAGTGCAAATTTTTTATTTCTTGTCCTATCAGTTTTCATTAAAATAAACCTTACGAAAAGTACAAAATAATTTGAAAATTCCAATATTCTAAAATCCATAAACAAATTTGAGATAATAGACATGCTTGCTTGAATGAAAAAAAAATCAAATAATGAAGTTTGCACTTAAAAATTGTGAAATTTTGTATGGAGGATTTCAAAAACTGTGTTAAAATGAAACCAAAAGTCATGCTGTATGTGGGATATCTCAAGTTTTAAAACTGTGTTGTAGAAGTGCCATGTTTTACAAGGGCACTTCTACAACACATGTATGTGTTAATGTTTTTGTTTGTCAATAGACCAAACATCACATTCCAATAAATGTGATGTCTGGTCTGCTGTTTATTGTTGTTTATGGATGTTTTATTTATGATTATGGCAGTCAGTATATTTTGTGTGTGTTGTTTTCTTTCTTTTATCATCTGAAGTATGTATTTGTAATATGCTTGCTGATGTATAATAGTTTGTATGCAAGCATTTGATGCATTATGTTTGGTTATGTCAATGTAAGTAGTTTGTCCTAAAATTTACAACCTAAAGTGATGTGTGGTATAGTTTTATTCATGATGTAGCATTTTCTACAAATGTCATCTGTAACTGTTGTCTTTGAAAGTGCACTTTCTGTAGTTTTTGTATTTATTACCTATTCTTGTATGGCAATTATGAACACTTTTGTCTATCTAAGGAGGCATTCATAAATCACCCAGCAGTTTGATGCATTTCTGTCAATGTGATCCTGGCCAAGATCATTAGATTGCTTATTATGGAGTTCCTCCTGGATCTAGGACTGCTTCATGGTATCTGTCTCTTGTGTGTACTATGTTAGATCAAAGTGAATGTTTTGTAGGTTTAAGTATACTGTTTTTATCTGAAAGAGTTACAGTTTTGTGTAATTGATGATTCTCGATTTTATAGAGAAACTCTATAGTGTGTGTATTCATATGTGGCGAAGATTTATATCTGTGAGGCCTTGGTTCTCTCTTTCTATGGGGAAGACTCACTTTCTATGGAAGACATACAAGTAGTGTTTGTTATGTTTTATTAATGTTTTTTTGTTTTTCCTTTGGATTTGTTCTAGTTATGTGTGTGTAATTTTATAATTTCAAAAGAATATGTGAGAACTAGGATTGCTTTAAATATGTGTTTTATATTGAACTTGTTGTTAATATTGAGTAGGGTTTCTTATTTCCCAGTCTTTTGCTTGTCCTGGGATTTTGGGAAAAAAGTGAACTGTTTCCTGGGATAGAATTAATTATTTTTAACATACACTAAATATCTTGAAATCAAATGATATAATTATTTTTCATTTTTTAACGTAATTTAATACATTTTGCAACCTCCAAAATAATAATAATATTAATATAATAATGCTTTATAAGATATATATTAAAAATTACCTTTGAATTACATAGAAATTTTCACAAATAGAAAAAAATTTATTAAAGTTAGCTGGAAACTACATACAATAACAACAACAAAATAAAAATGCTTTGAATTGAGTTGAAAATTTAAAAAAAAATGAACTTAGATCAAACTTCTAACTTAAAAGGTAATTTTTGATTTTTAAATAAAACATAAAAATTTACAATAATATTTTGTATTAAGGTTTTAATTAAAAAGCAAAGATGGTCGATATTCCGATCACTCAATCTAGTTCTCATTTTAGTAATGAAAAGTCCTGCTACCGAGAATGCCCTTTCCGATTCAATTGATGTGAGTGGAATCATGTTTAATGCATTTAAGAGATGACAGATGTTATATATTTTTTCATCTGTAGCCTGGAAGATTTCTAGTTCATTTTTGAGATTGTAGTACTGCTTTTGCTTTCTAGTATTCTTGATTTGTCTACTTTAATAGAAACATCAAGCTTATAGCCCAATAATTCACAAGATCGTTTCTTTAATAATCAGGTTTATGAAGAAAAACTTCATACTTGTTTATATCCTTGCCCAATTTGCACAACCTGGTGTTACGCAGTTATTGAAGCTACTGGACATTGTTAAAAATTAAGACAACATTAGCACAATTATTCCAGATATTACAGGTTCTGACAAGTAAAGAATTTTCAGAGTCCTGCCACAAATAATCTATGTATTGATTATTGATCATTTGTGACATGCTATAACATGCAAAAATTTAAAAAAACTAAGTAGATTTAAAATTATTAAAGTTCAAATGTATTCTGACAGTTTGAGTTAATTATACTTTCTATTTGCAAAATTTCCTCAACTTTAACACAAAATAAGAAAAAAGTGAACTTTTAAGAAATTTGTGGGATTTCCCAGGTTAAAAAAACAACCAGGATCTCATTTGAGAAACCCTAATATTGAGTTTAATTTATTGTAGTATTATATTATTTTCTGTTTGAATCAAACAGAAACTAACTTGAAGTCCTACATATCTGTAGACTTCAACTCACCCATGCCCTTTGATTTAATGTTGTCTCCATTTCTAAAAACAAAATCATTTTTCTTCAGGATTTTTTTTGTGAAGTGTTTTGTATTTGTATATGCCAAATTCCATTTGAATGCCAGTGGAATAAATGTAACTTATAATAGATAATATATATCTATGCATCAACAGACATCTGTGAATGCATAGTTTTATGTCACCCATGCACATAGTGAGTGAGATATGTATTGTGTTTGATGCTGTGTTTGTATGTTTTATCTTACCTATTGGATAGAGGTTTAAAGGCCATACAGAACTATAGTGGACTTAAAGGAATCTCCATAGAAAATGCCTCCTCTTAAATACATTTGGTTTGTTTTAATGTATATGCAAAAAAGTCTGAGTTTAGTGTTCTGCAGGGTTGTGTTTTGTTTTCTAGAATTGTTGAGAATACTTTATATAAATGTATTCAGAATGTATGCTGTATATAGTATATGCTGTCAAATACTTTCTAATAATTTAAGTGCATGATGTATAGGTTTATGTTTTCTGCACTTGTAGAATTACTATAAGTAGTAATTCTCTGTATTCATATTGTTTCTATGACAGTCATTTATTGTTTATTGATAATGTAGTATTTTTCTATATGATGATATTTTTTACGACTTCACCTACTTTACTTAATTATCTATTGATTTACTTGCTAATTAAATTGAACATTAAGAGTGTGTAAACAAAAAAATTTCACAAAAATTAAATTTTTCTTTTTACAATATCCAGGAACACAGAATTGACAAAATTAGTTTCTTCTGTCTCTAAATTACATGATCTTGTCCGTAGTCAGTGGCTTCTGATTTTAGTCTTGATGCCAGTCATCAGAAGTTCAAAAGTGCTCTGAATTAAATTGACAGAATTCATACAGTGTACTATTTCAGTTCCACTTCATTTTTGGCAGACCACCCATTTTTGTGCACCTTCTATTTCAGCTGGTACCAGAATTGTTCAATTGGATGCAGCTGAGGAACATTTGCAATGCTGATATAACATACTTCATGTTTCTCTAACAGAAACTATATTTGTTG